TTGATAGGGTAAGTTTATCAACGCTGGACCGTGTCTTGCACAGAAATAAACTGAGGATGAAGCAGGTCTACAGGGTGCCATTTGAGCGCAATTCAGAAAGGGTCAAAGAATTGCGATATAACTATGTGCAAGTACGTCCTATACAGTACATTCCCACCTTTGATGCATACTGTCAACATTGTATAAATCATACATATTTCTTTCTATTATATTGTAATCATAATGATTGTGCTTCACAATAGAGACCGCTCCATGTCTACTTCTGATATTGTCATGTGTGTTTCAGAGAGTCCTTGAGCTGGAGGTGGATGCAGTGGAGCACCAGTTCTTCTTCATTGATGAGGTTGGATTCAACCTCACAAAAAGACGAAGGAGGGGAAGGAATATAATCGGCCAGCGTGCCATTGTTGAAGTCCCTGGCCAGCACGGAGGGAACATCACAATGTGTGCAGCGATGACCGACCATGGCATCATCCATCACCATGCTACCCTTGGCCCCTACAACACTGCCCATCTGATCACATTCCTGGACACCCTACACAACACACTCATTCCACCAGATCAGATAGACGGCCCAGAGCAGCTCAGGTACGTTGTCATTTGGGACAACGTAAGCTTCCACCGGGCTGCTCTGGTTCATAACTGGTTCACTGACCACCCACGCTTTTCAGTTGTTTATCTCCCTCCATATTCTCCATTCCTCAATCCTATTGAGGAAGTTTTTTCTGCCTGGAGATGGAAAGTGTACGACCTAAATTCAGAAACGCGTATACCCCTTTTCCAAGCTATGGAAGACGCATGTGGAGATATAGCAGTTGATGCTTTTCATGGCTGGATTCGCCATGCTAGGCGATATTTCCCCCGCTGCTTGGCCAGGGAAAACATTGCTTGTGATGTAGATGAGGTGCTGTGGCCAGACCGAAACAGAAGAGAGGATGCAGCATAGTTTATTTTGTTTTGTTTTTTTATGATTACTGCAACTGTATACAGTAAAATCTTCTGCACTGTATGTGCAACTTTGTGTCAGTTGGGATGTACACTGTGTACATTGTTTTGTGGGGAAAATAAAACATGTTTGTTACAGTATATTTGTGTGTTCTGAGTATAAAAACAATATTCTAAAATATTTTACAACGCACTTATGTATTTAATGTCTGTAGTAAGTGTAACACTGAACAAAAAGTCATTATGATGAATGGAGAATGGTGTTTTACACTGAGCACATCAGTGTTTAAATGCTTTTTTTAATTGTCTGTTCATATGATAGTTTGTGTGTGTCATCTGAACACAAAATGGCCTTTTGTGAAGAGATAAAACTGTTTTGAATGTAAAGTTTCATTTTGCAGGAGAATTGAAGGGTTTTGCCCATTGTGTGTGTGTTTGTTGGATTTGTGTGTAGAGTTCTGAGAATACGAGGCATGTTTTCAGAAATGTGTGTAAACAATCCAGAAAAACTGTAATAGTTTGATGTACTGCATAATACGGAAGAGGATTAGGACCACTGAAAACATTTAAAAAGTTAACAGATTTTTAAATTGTATTTCAGTATATAATATTATATGAGAAAAAATCGGAATTATGAGAAAAAAGTCAAAATTCTGAGATTAAAGTCAGAAATCTTAGAAAAAGTCAAAATTCTGAGATTAGTCAGAAATCTGAGATTAAAGTCATAAATCTTAGAAAAGAAGTCAAAATTCTGAGATTAATGTCAGAATTCTGAGGGAAAAAAGTCAGAATTCTGAGGAAAAAAGTCAATATTCTGAGAAAAAAGTCAGTATTCTGAGATTAAAGACAGTATTCTGTAATTAAAGTCATAATTCTGAGATTAAAGTCAGAATTTTGAGAAAAAAGTCAGAATTCTGAGACTTAAGTCAAAATTATGAGAAAAAAAGTCATAATTCTGAGAAAAAGCCAGAATTCTGAGGAAAAAGTCAGAATACTGAGCAAAAAAAAGCAGAATTCTGAAATCAAACTCTGACTTCTGACTTTTGTTCCCATATTAAACTGAAATAATATTTAAAAATCAGTTAACTTTTTTCTTTTTTCAGTGGCCCCAATCCTCTTCCGTAGCATACGTCACAAAACCAATTTCGCAGAGTACATGTCAGATTAAATAATACTACTTCAGCGATAAGTTCAAGGTGTTACTTTATTGTATGTCTCGTACCATGTCTGTTGGTTGAGCTGTTCTTTTTACATCTCTTTGCAGGTGATGAAGCAGACTGAAAATGTTTTATCATTATCTCCCTTCTATCTCCTCTTTCTTTCATCTTTTCTCCCTTTTTTCTGTCTTTCCTCCTCTGTTCTATTTACATTGCACTGTCCATATAATCTGTAACACTCCCTGCATAATTATAATAAAGTAATTTATATGCATAAATCAAGCAGAACACTATGGCGATAGCCGTACTGCTCCACTTGTGAAAGTAAAATCTGTTGGGCTTTTTTTGGCATCAAGACAATTATTCTTATTGCCACATCGCCAGACAGGACACCCATAAAAAAAAATTAATACAAAAATTTTAAAAAACAATTTCACTAGTAGTTTTTGCTCCTACTGTTTTGATCATTTTCTGAAGAAATCCCCACTTCACCATGCATTAAATCAAATCATGAATAAATGAAAAAGAAAAAGAGCCATTTCAAATTTTACCTTAAAATCATACAATTAGAAATGAAATTCTAAAGCATTTTAAAGTTTAATTCTCATAGAGGAAATTTATATTGGATTTATTAAAAGGCCTATATTATTGAACACTGCAACTGAAAGTCTTTAATAAATACCTTTCCTAATTACACATTTAAAAAAGTTATTCCTTATTAAATTTTTCTTTTTCAAATCATTTTTGCCTTTACATTTTCTTTTGCCTTTATTCCCCCATTTACCTTCTTCAAACCAGTTAAATTAATCACAGTTGCTCCTCAGGTGCAACCAGTAATTTTATAATATAAATGGTACATTTGAAATGTATGTCTCTCTTCAGTGACTCTCCTCGTCCTCTATGCTCACCCTCAGCCCTTTACTACACACTTGGTCAACAAAATGACCAGTGAGGTTGCTGGTTGCATCTGAGGAGCAACTGTGATTGGTTTAACTGGATGTTCAATTGTATGATTTAAATGTAACATTTGAAATGGCTGTTCTTCTTTCTAGTGACTCTCCTGGTCCTCCATAGAAATCCACATGACAACTCCACAGTGTATTTTATGAGTTTCATGTGACACCACAAGGCATGTTTGGGAGATGCTAGGAACATTTATATGGAACAGTAACAGACCATTAGATACAAATCGAAAAATTGTGGCCAGGAATCTTATGCAGCCACACTAGCTATTGGTTTGGAAAACTGAGTTTGTATGTTTTTTTACATTTTGAAAAATAAAAACGAATGCATAAATATACATTTTAATCATTTCAATTAATTACATTTTATTATTTGTGGGTTTTTTTTAGGCATTTCTGTTAAATTTTTATGCATTTTGTGTTCACTACATATGAGAGCTGTTCGGCTGATCAAGCAACTAAAGAAGTCATAAACCAATATAACAATCAAACAATTCAAATCATGAAGATTAGATATACTTTATCATTTCCAGAGGAGTGAATAAGATAGTTGCAGCAGCTGGATTGGTTGGATTGATTTACTTCTAGTAGGCCTTTGGGGGATAAATAAATGAAAACATTTAAAAAACGTGAAAAACCCACAAATACAAAGGGGGAAAAAAAACGTACAAACAATACAGTAAAGAAAAAGAAAATAATTTTAACAAACATTTTAAAAGAACTGTAAAAAATCCAAGAAAAATATATACGGATAAATCCTCACTCTAGACAAGATAAACAACACACACTCTATATCCATAGGAGGAAGCCATAAAGAGGTGACGGCTGTATTTACAAAAAGTTCTGTTAAGCTGTTAACTTTTTAAGGGAGCCTGTAGTTCTGTATGCAACCATCTCATTTCTGCTTTTGATTACAGCTGACAGACATTCTCACATTCCAGGCTGGTTCTGAAAACAGAGGGAATGACTGAATGGATCCACCCTGATTCTGGGATTAATTTACATTCGAAGCTCCTCGATCTTCCTCCTTCATCAGCTGTGCCAAAAGCAGGAGCTGTATTTGTCTTGTTCGGTTTACTTAAACTTTGTTTCTCTATATTATCTTGGTTGTTTTACCAAATAAAAGCATTCTATACAAAAAGGGAAGTCACATTTATGCTGACATCTAACTCCTCATAAACATCAAATAGATGAAGAAGTAAAATAGCCAGTTGGAAAGCAAATAGAATAATAAATAAGGATGTAAATAAGGCATTTTAATGTTGTTTGACATATTTTGCATAAAGTCTTATGAATAAGACATTGTTTTAATCCAGTCCACAATTGATAAAAAAAAAATTCCATTGAGAGGTGAAGCAGGCCCACAATCCAGAGTCCTGAATCCAGACATTAAATGAGAGGATGCTTGAAAAAGTAAGGATTTCAGAGTTTGAACACATATGGGAGTGTCTTCTGAGCGTTTAGAGCAAGTTGCTTGTGCTCTGAGAAGGTTGCAAGTACCCGTTTTGATCCCCACAGCCTACACTCTGGGTCCCTGAGCAAAACCCTTTACCCCATCCTGCTCCCCAGAGGCCACACAATGGCAGCCCAAAATGCAGACAGTGAATTTCCACATTGTGGGACAATCAAGGGATTTACATTTTTTTTATTTTTCCTAACAGAGATCTTTGTTTTTCAGTTAAACTGAAAAGTTGGTCTCAAAATGGCATTGTGAAATCCACTGTAGATATACTCTGTCTGAACACCACAGGGTCCCGTTTTTCTCTCTGGACTTTAGAGAAAGAGTTCCTGGAAATTAAAGCAGCTCTGTGATCCTGACATCTGCCAGGGTTGCAGGAAGCTGGCAGCGAAAAATGCCATATTGTGCTAAGACTCTCTGCCACAACCTGCTGGAGACTGTTGGGACTACTGAAGCCATCAAAGCATCACATTAAAATTACCAAAAATCCTCAGTTCATTTATTCTGAATACTTGACCCTTAGGGCCTACTGCTCTTTACTGTGAGCAGAATTTATTCCATCAGAGTAGAAAAGATTTACGGTTCAAACACAGATGAGAAAGACAGAAAATAATTTCTAAAGAATGAAATGCACAATGTTTGCACAACTTTGATATCAGACAATGAATATAAACAAACTACAATATCGCTTTAGGCAAGCTGGGTCCTTTTAATTGCTAAATTAGAAAAAGTGTATCTGATCAGCAATAATTCAGTGCTTTAATGCAAAAGGGAAAAATATGTAAATGAAACAGGTGTTAGCAGCAGTGTCCATTGAGAGAACTTAAAAGGAGGAACACATGATCCTGTTACAGCTCATGCAGACAAGATGAAGCCTCCTCATTGCTCATCAATCATTTTGACTTATTTTAGAGTCCTCCTCCGGGAATAAACAACAGATGATCAGCTGTCAAAACAGTAAGTAAGAGCTGAGTGGATCAGTGAACCACATCTTATTAACAACATGGAAGTTATACAGTCATCACTTCAGTGTCAAATTATATTTACAGATGGGAACACAAAAAAAAAAGTTTTAAAAAGCAGCAAAAAAGGCAAAAAATAAGGAGTCAAGTTCACGGTTCCTTAGTTTAGTTCATATGGAGAGTGCTTCTCTCACAAGTTCTTTTGATGAAGAGCCTTTGGGGTTGTCATATATGGTGGAAAGTTCTATATCTGTACCTGAGTTTGAAGGCCTAGGGTCACCGGATGGCCCGTGTTGAAAATCGCGGCCTTTCTTTCTGAAAGAGTTCCTAATCCTGTCGGAGATACGGTCCGAAACACGTCTCACGGCCCGACTGAGCTTCTTGTTCTTATACTTGATCAGGCCTACGTCGTCCTCCAACTCCTCTGGTGGAACATCAATGTTCCCAGAGTACCAGAACACCCACCAGATCAGGCTGAGGAAGATTAGGATGGCCCCACCGTAGATAAACACATCGTGAATCACCACCCCGCTGAACACCCCCACCAGGATGATAAGGACGCCCAGTACGTCTTGGACCACTGCGAACCAGAAGGAGCACTTGCAGCGGCCAACTCCTCCGTAGGTCTTCTCCATGACAGGCTCTATCTGCACCGATGTGGACATGATGGCACAGGAGCTCGTCAAACCTGGAAAAAAAAGCAATGTGAATCCAGCGGTTGTTACAGGAGAGGAAAGTTTAGTCCTCAAATGGAATAATCTGCTGTGAATGTTCAAAGTTCAATGTACACTGGTTGTTATCAGTCACTTCAGCCTGACTATATCTGGGGTTTCAGTTACATCATCACTCATAAACACACTGCAGACATATTCCTTGGCTCGCATGCAAAACTAATAACACACATTACCCTGAAAATATCAGTACTACCACTGTGAAACATGGTGGTAGCAGCATCATGCTGAGGGGACACTTTTCCTTGGAGCATAGAACCTGGTTGATGGAGAAACGAGTGGAGTTTAAAGCAAAATAATCCTGATAGAAAACCGGCTGGAAACAGAGATCGCACCCTGGCTCAGCCGCCTGCTCTTTGTCTTTCTCCCTCTACATCACAGGTGTCAAACTGGTTCCAGAAAGGGCCGTGTGGCTGCAGGTTTTCTTTCCAACCAAGCAATAGCACACCAGACTCCATTCATATCATCAAGTCATCATGTTCAGACTGGACTCCCTTGATGAGATGACTGGAGTCTGGTGTGCTATTGCTTGGTTGGAAAGAAAACCTTCAGCCACACGGCCCTTTCTGAAACCAGTTTGACACCCCTGCTCTACATCATACTCCAGCTCCAAATATCCAAACCAGATCAGAGTGAAGAACATTCCGAGTGACCCACCTTAAATTAACACAAATTATGTCACAGGCCACTAAGGAACAGGAGGAACTTTTGCAGGTCTACATACAACGGAACTCTTCTTTTGGACTAAACAGATGAGTAGATCCTCCAAAGTGGAGCAAAAAGTAGTCCCAAAGATGACAAGTGATAGGGGAGTATGAAGTTCCCTCCCCACAAGAACATCATCACTAACATCAAGTCATTTCTCATCTCCTACTCAAGTCCTTGGCTGAGTCGCCTCCGCCTTTGCTTCTCCTTCAGGATGGGGATCCACACCAGTCCCATCACAACAAACACCAGCCCTATAGACAGGCAAGCTGAAGCCACAGAGCAGGACACATCGGTTACCCCAGCAGAGTGGAGCAAGAAGAGGATCGCACCCACTGCAGACATCAGAGATCCCATCACCATGGCGATTATGGCCTTGTGGAGGAAGGCCCAGCCTGGAGACGCAACATTTTCTGTGTCTTGGTCGGAACACAAGCTCTGACCTCCATTTTCAGGTGAAAGTCCATTGAGTTCCTCCATGACCTCCTGAGAAACCCTTCAACAGGAATCCCTCAGGGCCTCTGCTGTTGTTTGTTCACTTGGGTCCGTTCCTCCCAGCAGTCCCATGAAGAAGCTCTATCATCTGCAGGGGGTGTGCACGATGCCTCATCAGCTACAGTGAACACAATTATGTAATTCCAGAAGGTCCCACACAAAAGAGGCAGGGCCTTGGTGAGTGCACAGAACCGGCCCACCTGTTGCATCATCAGTACTCCCTCACTCACTGGCTTTGTCATTATCCGGTTACATGACACAATCAAGACAGCTCATCACAACATTCTGTCACAAAGGCTCATATTCTGGGCATACTTGAGCCGACTTGGCTGTCTTCCCTACAGACACCAGCTGCACAGGCTGCTCTAAGCTGGACAATTGGGCTGTCACCTGATACAGGCAACAGGTATTCAAGCTCTGACGGCTGTATTTACTAGAAGCAAACAGTTTCCAAGGCTGCAGCATCTTGTGGCACGATAACCCTTCAACCCATCTGTCCATACGCCCATTCATTGTCTGTCAGCTTAGGCCAGTGATTCCCAAAAAGGGGTACTCGAACCCCTTGTGGTCCGCGACTGCATTGCAAGCGGTAGATAAAAATATTTATTTCTTTGGCAGTAAAATAAAATATGGCTTAGATCTGTTTTGCTTTGTGAGGACTCAATTGAACAATTAAACAAGTTTTTTCTCATATGTTTGGGTTCACCTTCAGCTTGAACAAACCGGATGTAGAGAACAGCCTGGTATCAGCCGTTTTTCACACCGAGCTATCGGAGCTCATCAAAGTAGCTCAGGTGTTTTGATAAAAACAAAGTAAAACTAATTAAGTCAGTCCAAATATCATTTTTGTTCTGTATTTTGTTCCCAATTCATCAAGTTTAAATGTAATTATAAGGGAGTTATTTCTGTATTTATTCTGTATTTATTTTGCTTCTTTACTAACTCCAGACAACATATTTGGTTGTTTTTTACTTGAGATGGAAAGAACAAAATGTCTAAGAATTAAATTCTCAAATTAAAAGACTGAGTAAAATAGTTTTTATTTCATAATCAATTAGTGTACATTCCACTTTTGAACAATTATCAATAATTTTGATTGAGAAGAGAGCTCATGTCAAGAAAAAATGCCTAAAGGGGTACAAAAGGCAAAAAATGTTGGGAAGCGTCTGAGACCATGGACAGGCTGGTGACTAATTACAACAATCAAAAGGTGAGGGACGCCCCAGATGGGCCAGTTAATCACAGGGCAACAAAGAGGACAGTCAAATACACTCGCATGCACTCATACATTAAGTCAAAGAAAAGATTAATGCACTAAGGAGTCATGTTTTTAGACCTTTTGAGGAGTAACCAGAGAGAAACTATGCATAAATAGGGACAACCTCCATGCAGAAAGACCCCAGGCCAGGAATTAAACCCTTCATTCTGCAAGTCATCACTGTTACACAATCCAATGCTGACTGGCAAGATGTGGGCTTCTCGGTGTCGTTTGATGAGTGGGCCGACCCGAAATATATTTTCCACGAGAGAAAATTAAGTTTGACTCATTAGATCATTGTGGCATCTTACGCCACTCTGGGAATTTTTTTGTTTGTTTCTGGATTGAACAGATTGTTTCCACACAAAAATAGAGGAAAAAAAAGCTATGTTGTTGTGACAACTTCATCATGGAGCTAAAAATACCACATTGTAGCTCTGCACTATTTCTGTCCTGACTCTGGATAATGATTTGTGGCAGGAAAAGTTGATTCTGAATGGCTAACTTTTTTTCTGTTCTTCCTGCAATCATCCCCATCTGGCACCAGTTGTGAGCATTACAGCCCTAATTCAGGCAGTTTTTTTTTTTAAAGGAAAAAATTCATTTGATGACCCATAACCTATAAACAGAAGCTTTTTGTAAGTTAACTCGATGCCATATTTAACCAATATTACAGCAAACAGAGTTGAATCATTTCACAATAAGGTGACAAGCACATATCTAAAAAAAAAAAAAAAAAAAAAAAAAAAAAAAATATATATATATATATATATATATATATATATATATATATATATATATACATATATATGACTTTCTTGTCTTCTTTAGGGTTAACTACAAATCAGTTTTCTCTGTCAAGAACAAAACATTTAAACCTTTTTAATTTGATTTGTTAAATTCATTTGTTGTGCTTTCGGTTTGTGGGGTTAGTTTGTGTTCTTTTTCAGTTCCATCGTACATCCACCAGATGATGCCATTGGGTTACTTCTGTCTTGGAGAGCTTGCCTACACTTCTCAATTACCCAGATGTGCAATGAATCTCTCCTCACCTCAGAGGAGTACATGAGCATTTGACTATCATCACCTCTTCGTCAGAGTGTTTGCCTGTTTTGGGTACTCTAGCCTCTCTGAGCTTTGCTGAGTCAATCACTGGTGAATTCATGCACTTACCTCTCCTTTTTCTTGTAAAACTTCAGCAGGAAACCTTCAGATCCTCTGGGATTTTTCAAGTCTTTCCAGCCCTGGAAGAAAACCTCTCGAGTCGCTGAGAGTTCCACAACTCACCTCATCTGAGCTCCAACCTCTTCAAGATTTCCAGTTGACAGTCTGCTCTGCTGCTCCTCTGTGCAACCATAAACGTACCTGTCCGCCCTCCAACGACTCGTCCATCTTCAATCAGCCAAGGCGTCCTTAAACTGGAACCTCAGACCACCCTCCAACTCAAGCAGTGAGTTTCAAGTAGGAACAGAGCATCAGTTATTTACATTTATTCCCCACCAACTTTGAACCCACCTAATATCTCTCTCCTTTGTGCAGTCGCACCTGGATTCCAGGCCGCAGTACTCCCCAAGCTGAGAACCCGGTTTCTGTCTCTTTGGTTTAAGATAAAGAAAATACATTTTCAAACTTGGACAATCTCTCTGTGAGTGTATCTGCATGTGGGCAAAAAGTATTAGACCCATCATGACATCATTAACAAATATTGATAGAAAAAAAGTCTTGCTGTCTGTATTTATCATGCATATATTCTTTGAATTAGTAGTTTATCCTGCTCTTACAACACTTCAAGTGCTAATCTGAGCTTTCAAAAGGCTTAGAGATCATGAGCTTTATCCTATTCAGGCCTAACCTCCTAAATCATTACAATCATCTAAATGTGGACAACAGATGTTCATTAATGCTATATATTGAATTAAAAGGTTTTTTTTTTTTGTGGCTGTTCAGTGACGCAGTGGGTAGCACTACTACCTTGCAGCAAGAAGGTTTGTAGGTTCTCCATGTGCATGCGTGAGTTCTCTCCACGTACTCCAGCTTCCTCCCACAGTCCAAAAGCATGACTATTAGGTTAATTGGCCTATATAAAATTCTCCTTAGGTGTGACTGTGTGCATTAATGGTTGTTTGCCCTGAGATAGACTGGCAACTTGTCCAGGGTGTACCCCACCTCTCGCCCATTGACAGCTTGAGATAGGCACCAGCACCTCTCACAACCCTAGCAGGGATAAAAGTGAAAGAAAATAGATGGATGGATTTTTTTCAGGGGTTAATATTCCCATCCTCCCCATCTAATTCTCACGTCCACAGTTTTTACTGCCATAAAACAAAAGGAAACCAGTCACGGATGAGAGCAGGCTGCCACACTGGAGCAGATGTCAGAGCTCCAAAATATGTGATATAAGGGGTGGAGTGGGGGAAACTCTTCAGCCCGGGAGTCAAATGGCCAGTACTAGCCAATTTTTCCCATTCATCAGAAATTAATTACACCTAAATGAACTCTAAGATTACTTTTGAGCTTAACAAAAATATTCCACTGCGTTCAACTGAACATTTTAACATGTGAAAAAAAAAAAAAACCTGGTAACTCTTAACACCAGAGCACCAGTAAGCGCAGTAGAAGTTCACTAGTTTCTGCAGCCTTATTTGTTATCTTGAGTCAGTGGACATGGGAAAGTATTTATCTTTTTGTTTCGAGCTAGGTTTTAGGTAAATGACTAAGCTTACAATATATGCAAGGGTAAAAGTAGATTTAAATACTTGCCAGGACTATATTGAAAATTTATTGGTTTATATTGTTTTCTTAGACCCTGTATGCATTTAATTTTTTTTTCCCATATATAGACCACAGTATATATTTATAAACACTATTAATATGTATCTACAGAAAACTACTAACGCATTCCGCTTTCTATTATCTTATTGCCATCGTTATTGTTGTGGTATTATAATTATGCACAATCTGCAGTCCTATGAAAACCTAATTCAGGATCAAATAGACTGATATCAAAATGTACTTTCAAGTTTAGTTCCATCTGCCAACAAACACATCAGTAACACTCATTTGAATCAGTTTTTATGTGTTAGCATGCAGAACACCGTAATTCAAGCCGACACAGAATGACTTAAAATTTTATTGACAAGGGTGAGGATGTTGCAAAAAGGGGAAAGCTCCTGGAGATAAGTGGGATTGAGTCCGAAAGTTCACGCAGTGGCAGATTATAAACAGAGATGCAGACAATACCAGGCTAGACTTCAGTTGGAAGAGAGGAATAGGCGAGGCTTGAATCTGCAGAAAAGATCTGCCGCAGGTAGACTCTGAGGTGATGGTCAGACGTGATCTGGAGCTGTCCAGAAGGACAGGTGTACTTTGCACCTGCCCATAAGGTCAGAGGTGGCTAGCAGCTGCCCAGACAGGTGTAGCCAGATGGTGCTGTGTAGTGATGTTATGAGCTGAGGCTTTAAGGCGTGTGTTTAAGCCAAAATCGATAACGTCCGAAGCCTTGCTATACTGCCATACCATGTGACCGCTTCGAGAAGAGGTTCAGATCACCTTAAACAGCCTTACTATTTAGT